GTGTGTGTGTGTGTGTGTGTGTGTGTGTGTGTGTGTGTGTGTGTGTGTGTGTGTGTTATGTTATTATTCATTTTAATCCTGTTTTTTTTTTTTTTTTTTATTTGTTTGTTCGAAAGGAAAATCCACATTCTTAGCATAGATCTGACCAAACACGTTTTGAAGAATACGAACTCGAAATCTTTGTATTACACCGCACGAACGGTATTATTATTACATACTACTGTAACTTCGAACGGTAAATCCTCGTGGTACACTCTTTACGGACGGCCCATACGAGTTTTTATGTATAAATTTTTAACAATTATATATTTGTGTAAAATTTTTAAAAAATTACTATTATTGATATTTGCAGTCCATACAGTTGTGTACGGTAAGTAAAGATTTTTATGAAGATATTTGTAACTTGAAAACTTGACCAGGAAGGTGCTCAACTGCGGGACCTGAAAACATGAAAAACAAAAAAAAAAAATCATAATTTTTATCCGATAATATGATAAACAGCAGGTATAAATATGACTAAAATTGAACAACACGAAATAGGTGTTCACGTCATTCATGGGGTTACTACTAGATAAATAGAAACATGATTTTTAAAGAAAACCATCCTGCAGGACAGAACGGATCGGATTTTATAGGTATTAACAATGTACGAAATTCCAGAAAACGGAGTGTTAATAGCATAATTATCAATATTGTTTGAGTATTTGAATAAAATTGGTTTTCCAAAATGGGATGGGTAGAAGAAGCTTGGAATGTTTTAGTGGAAGTAAACATTTGAACAGTCAATATGCATCGTTAATAGTTAGCAAGAAATAAACGAAATATAAATCAAGTGTGATTCTGTTCCAGAGGATTCAACGGTAAAGTTGAACAAGTCATAGAGCGTACGACGATCGGGGCAGGTATATTGTGTTCAAAAGCTACCTAACCTTGAGTACACATCGTAATATAGGTAAGGTAAAAGACTCCGGGACAGCGTACGCAACTCGTACAAATAATAATAATAATAATAATAATAATAATAATAATAGTAATTATAATAATAGTAAAATCGTTTCCGAGCCGTTTTACCGTTAACTCGCGCGACAGAACTCCGTCGACCTTAATGACCGTTATTGTCCGCTGAGACAATATTATACGTTCGTATTATTATCATTACTGCAATGCGTCGTACGGATCGACCACGTGGATGCACGAAACGTCGAATGTCGCTTCGGCGCGCAAGTAGGTATGTACCTATTATACCTATTACCACATGCACGCGTGTGTCGTCGTCAGCGACGGATATTAAATCCGGATCGGAGATCCCACGAATCCGGGCTGTCGGTAAATTTAAAATCCAAAACACGGACTTGCTGGTGTTAATATCCGAATTTAAACACCGCGGCGTTCTGTATTCCGATTTGAAAATCGATTGATTACACAAAACACGCGTGTTCGTCAAAACCTTGTTCCGAGTCATGGATACGAATTAATGATTCGTCAAAATCTCGTTTTCCGAGATTCGGATTCCGAGTGAAATCCGGATTTTCGAACTTCGACGGGTCCGGATTTTTACCGTCACCGGAGGTCGTTCGACGAAATAAAACCGTCGTTCGCGTGTCGCGCGAGCGCGTCGAATGTTTCGCAGCAACAGCGATCCGCCGCGACTTCGGTCCGACACCGTCGGACGGCTTCCGGTACGCCGACCCCCGACGACCGATGCGCGTTGGTGTACGTGCACGTAAATGTCTTTTTCTCTCTCTCTCTCTCTCTCTCTCTCTCGCGCGCGCGCGCGCGCGCGAACGCCCGGAGTCTGGTTTTTCTTTTCGTCCACGTTTTATTTCTCATTTTACTCGGTAACGTTTGGTTTTTTTTTTTTTTAATTAAAGCGCCTAAAAGAAAACGGAGCGGGGGAAAACAATTAATAACGAAAAAAAACTACCCGCGCGTCCGGGACCAGTCGTCGTACCTCCACCGCGAAACCGTCCGCTTTCCCGGTCGTAACGTAAACCCCGGGCACGTACGCGCGAGAATCGGACACGGCCGACGGCCATCGGGAAAATCTACGCGCGACCGCCGCCGCACGTTCGAGCGGTGCGCGCGACCGAGGCGGGCGGGGGACGGCGACACGGAACGCGCGCGCTCGCCACACGCGTCTTCTCGGTTCAGTGTGCGTCACGTGTCTGGTCCGCGCGGTCATGCGTTCCGTTCCCTTTGCGCTGCGCAGCCTTTGAGCGGCCCGTTCGGTGTTTTTTTTTTTTTTATTCGGAAAAACGCGCGCGCCCGCTTCGGCACGTGTCTCGTCGTCCGCGGATATTATGCGAACGTCGTGCGAGTGACCGCACAGCGAACACACGTATTTTATTACACCCGGGCACCGGACACCGCGTCATGGACGAGGAAACAGCTTTGGTCTTGGGCGTGCAACTTTTGGCCCTGTGCTGCATCGCGTGCTCTCTGGTGAGTCCACGGGTCTCTGTAACTACGCGCGAAATCGGCGCGACCGCGGATGCACGTCACGACCCAGCGGGTGTGTGCCCCCGACCCTTCGGTAGACTTCGATGCGGCCCCCGCGCGCGCTCTCGTCACTTCCGGATAAAGAGCGGTTTTTTAAATTTTTTTTTCATTTTTCTTTTCGTTTTAATGTTGTATACACATTATTATCAGAGAAAAAAAAAAAAAAAGTGCAATTTTCCACATTCTAGTTTTAAATGAAACGCCTGTAATCATAATACAAATATATAATTATCAGGAAAATGTAAGTTGTCCAGTGTCCGACCGACGATTTATACTCGCTATAATATGTGGCTTCTCAAAAGGTTAGGTTAGGTTAGGTTATAATATATCTCTATATTAAATTCAACCTAAGTATCACGTTGATCAGAAATAATTAAAAAATTTAGATAAAAAAAAAACCTTAATTTGAATTTTTTATACTGACACTGAAAGATGTTTTCTTCCCGTAATAATCGTGTGTTATAGATCCATAAGCGATGAAATATTTTTAACTGGTAAAACCGATGACTACTAGTCACCCGATTGGAATTTATAGTAAAAGATTCTTAAGAAAGACGACTGCAGGGGTGAATCTAGAGGGCTGTTCAGGGAGTCAGTTGACCCACAGTTAATATTTGTTGACAAAATTGGCCTCTTGGAAATTGTTTTCTCTTTTTAGACCTTGATTTGGACTCTTGGACAGATGGCCCATCGAAGTTACTTGAAAAATTAATACCATGTATATTCAAAGTTTAAAATTTATATTTTAAATTATATCGTGTTAGTAGAATGTTAAGTAAATCATATTCTATTCCGTACGTTTGTTGCTCTGATAAAATTAGATTATATTTATTAATCGTAAATAAGTCATTATCGATGGTATCGTTAATTCTAAAATGTAATATAAATATACTTATACACTTTTATAAGCATATTTTTTTTTTTTTTTTTTTTTTTTTTACAATGTATTAATTTCTAATTGAGTTTCATCCCTAATAAATGACCTCTTGAAATGGCTTGACCCACAGTTCCCCGACTCTGGATCCTCCCCTGGACGACTGGCTTTATTTTTTACCTATTTAGAGACCATGACATTCAAAAGAGTGAGAAACCATGAAACAGTTTTCGTAATCATCGATGAAAGATGTTTACGTTTTATCGGATAACGTTAAGCCATTTAAAAATAGCCCACTCTTAGTTAAACTCGTAACTTAAATGATCTACGATTTGGTCGTAATACAGATTTATACCGACTAAAGGAGCACTCGTCTTCAACAGAGGTAATGGGTGCAAATTTCATATTTCTAATGTCCAAAGGAGTGAGCTCGGCCTGCAATATTACCCTATTCTTTCCGCAATGTGTATCTCTATTTAATTTTAGGCAATTTAAACCATGATTTATGTTTAATACAGTGCGCATTTTTTTCTTTTACTGCAACTTCCATTGGTCCTTGTACTTGTTCTATGCATTTTACAGCTTCTTCTACGAATCCTAAACTTTGAACTAAAGTCATTTTTCTTGTCGAAAATATCGAAATATGGAAATATCGTCCATAGATTAAATTCAATAATTGGTATTATTTTGTTTACGTACTTTTAGAAACATGGAAAGTTTTCTGTATTGAATTATAAATAAATGGTAAATGAACAAATTGTCGAAATATCTAGGAAAAAATGTAATTTAATGAGAAATATGTAAAAATATGTAAAATAAAATATAGTTCATTGCATTGGAAATCGCTTGAAACGAATTAATCATTTACCTAAATTAATTTATTAAGTCACAGTAAAAATATGTATTTTTATATAAATCCAAACCCTACTCATAATGATCATAATGAACGGCTTGTAGTCGGCACAGGGTCACTGTGAATTCTGGCTTTATAATGTTGTCAGTTAATTTTCTCACCTCAATTATTGAAGATATGTACTGTATAATATATCTATATGTATATATACATACATGCATATGTTATATTTTTTATGCATTGCAAATTTCAAATTTCATGTTTCATGAATTTATTTAAACATTTTAAAACGTGTTTAGTAGCACTTGAATAAAGATTTAGATTTAAACGATTAATCTAAACATTGATCAATGGTTCGGTCAGTACTAGCTTATCACCTTGATCGAGTTTCAATTCGAGCACTCAATGCTACAGTTCGATAACAGTCCTAATCCCAAACAATACAAAAAACATATTATATCCTCGAAAGTTTGATGTTTGTATTGCGTACACTATATTTTAATGATACGTTGGGTGGAATTTCAATTGGCAAAAAGATTCGTTTGCGGCCAACAAAACTAAAATATTTTTTTCCGATAAAAGAACATATTGATAAGAAGAAACAGTACTGAGTATAAAATGTCTCATGTCTATCAACGGCTATCATGAAATAAATAACGCGTTAAAGAAAATATGATGTGCAATTGCAGTTGCAACTGCACATCTCAGTGTGAAGAAGATGTTTGAATTAGTAATTAACTATTAAATATATTATATAAATGCAGTAAAAAAGATTAAGACTGTCGCAATATGATTTGCAAAAAAAAAAAATAGTTACATTTTACATACAACAAAAACTGATCACATCTTGATGAATTATCCTTACATTAATTTTATAAATCACGGAATACGTTAGTGTTAATTAGGTTGGTAATATTTTTTTAAAATAATGATAAAAAGGTATCAGCCGAAAAATAGTATATATGTGCTATAGATGTTTTTTAATGGTATTATCTATCGTGTTCGAATAATAGGTAAATATATTTATAAGTCTGTGTACAAATTAATTAGTCGAAATGTTTACCTAAAATATTGGTGAATGCCATTTATTTGAAAATACATTTGTTTTAGTGTATGTGAGTGAAATGCATTTTGAAGGTCTCCTTTTATATGTTTGATCATGTTTTAATCCTGGAAATTCGGTTTGTTCGTAAAAATAACTACGAACCCAAATAACATAGTGTTAACACAAATTTTAGATTTTTCATGATTATCAAACGGTTAGTTGAAAAATATTTGTAATATTAACCCAATTATTGTCTGCAGTGCACTTCAACTTAATTATTGTAATATAATACTATATTATTTGTTATGAAAAAATCTATATATATTAATATGTAGATAATTATATATTTGAGTATCACGATTGACATAGTTTTCGTAAATTAAAATAATAACTATACATGGTTAGTTTTAAGTAATAATTATAAATTATTCGACAAGAATCTAGGTTTACAAAGTTTATTTGTTGTGTTCATACTTAAAAATGTTTAACTAGTCGATAGTATGCGATTAAATGTGAAGTTTAAGAGACCTTAAATTTTCATTCTTTTTAACCAATAATTCGTTCAAGTCGATTATCAAGTTAGCAGTGATTTTTGTACTACAAGATGGATATTGGCATTTGTAATTTATCATCTAATTAGTGGTGGAGCATGAGGTTAAGAAATGATTGATGACCAAACTATTCAATACTTTTATTATATGTCGTGAGACACATATATCAAATGGATCGTACATAAAAAAATATACGATATTGAATAATTGCAGTTTTTCGTGTAGCGATGGATCATCGTGGACGTATTTAAAAATAACATATCATACCCTGAGATATTATTTGTTTTCAAACCGTTTATGTTTTTAAACGTTAACCGATAAAAAACAAAAATGATAACGCTTCCATTAATTTCGCTATGTAATATAATTACGAAAATAATTCGAGAATAACAATAAATATTATTTTTGTCTAATTATCATATTAATTATATCACATGTAATACAATTTCTTTGTCACGTTTTTCACATTTTTGGTACGATGACAATGTTAGCGATCACATTGTAGTAATTTTACGTTCTTGTAATAGCACACTAAAACGACCGTACCACGAGAACATAATCGTATCATAAATAATAAAATATAAATTTTTTAACGGATTTCAACTTATACATACAACAATCGAAGTTTGTACCGTTGCTGTTTCATTTTATTATTCATAAAAGGAAAAAAATCAGAACAAACTGACTACGCGATGGTATTATGTCGTACGCGCAATCTATTTCCCAAGTCTTTGAAACGTCTCAAACCGATTATCTTTCACGTGACGTGTCGCCCGCGATGGATTTCCCATAAAATTAATATTTTCGTTAGTTTATCTTATGGTACTTTGAGTATTTCTTTTTACTAGTTTTTATAAATCATCTGGACCCTTTGCCACCTATACTAATGTCTTCCACTCTTCTCTGTTATGTGTACGATTACATTTTCACTTCACTTTGATTTCAAATAAATTATTTATCTTATTATTACTTCCAATCACATCGTTGTTTCGGCCGATAAGTATATCGTTCACGAGTTCTGTTTTAACTATGTACTATTTTCGGCTCACCAAACGTAGGCCGCCTATACTTCAATCTTGCACTACGTATGAATCGAGCTACATGTTTCGTTTCTGGCACATCTGTTTTAGTTGTTCGTTTGTCCTTCGCTGCCAAACTTGAGTTTACAACGGTCTTAACACTGTTTTCTCTCAACAACATTTAATCTATTTTCATCCCCCGCTGTTGTAGCCCGTGCAGACACTACAGTCATACGACACAACCGCAGCTCCGAGATACGTGAAATACGAGTATAGACTTTCTTTGGTTTTATTCGACAACATTTCTGACTTGAACAGGTATATGATAACATGACCAAGTAACCTTTATTATAGATACACACCTAGTAATACAATATTAGACTGGATAGTCTAACGAAATAATTGGACTCGATTGATTAACTATTGGCGAATTCGCGACGTAAATGAACACGTTCACTCCATCCCGCCGCATGGCAGGTATAATAATTGTAGGTAGGTGTAACCGCGTTTCGTACGGATTTATTTTTTCTAGTCGTGACCGACTACTCGAGGGGACGCGAACGCATTATACCATCGTTAATGATATACGTAAACATATATA